CACACACTTTGACTCACCCTGTCTTTGTCGTCCACCACATCACGCAGCATGTCATCCAGGTCCAAGATGCCTCCATCTCCATGCTCCAACCTGTGGACCTGAACCCAATAGCCGGGGTCCTAAAAGAAAGAAAAGAGAGAGTCTTAGCCCTGTAATGAGATCAGCTGTATTTCCACCATACAGTCTTAGGATTTGCAGCATTATGTAAGTAAAGCCATACAACATATTAGCTGTGCCAGGTCAAAAGAATTAGGAGCTTGTGTCTCCTTAGGAATCAGCTGATCTAATCAGCATGTGGTTCATATAATGATCCAGTCAGCTGGCAGACAGCGGCTCTGACATGGTTATGGATTGACATCATGATACTAGTTATGAAATATTTTAATCTCCTGACGGATGGCCTGCAAGCTAAGCATATGGCTCCGATCTGTTTTCCGTGTGTGCAGAAAGAGAAGCAGCGTGATAAAGGCAGAGGAGGAGATGTAATATTCATCAGTTCTTATGGGTACATTTACATGCAAATAAGACGACAGCACTCCGCCACCCTTCCCCAGTCAGTTAAACAAGCTGGTTTGCATTAACATATGAACATCGTCCCCCGTATACATAATGCAGTGAGTAAAGCCTGTAGCAGAGAAAGTTCCAGATCAGCTCACCTTACTATGAACAACTCAACAATTCAGATTACACAACCAGCAAAATGTAATCCATATGGCTTTCTGGAGACAAGAAGGATATAAATATGGGCTTTTCTGAAATTCTAATTGAGGCTTGTGTATAATATTTGGTGCTTCGACATCATCAGAGACTCCTTCTCTTATATAATGCTGCACCAGGCAGTGTACAGTGTGGAGGGTGCTACATGTTCCTCCATATGTCCGACCCTTGTATGTTTCATAACCCTTTATTCTTCATTTTCAGGTTAGGGATAGGTAGACTGTGTTACTCTAAGAAATTACTGCTGTACTGATACAATGTTGTATTTAACCCGAACTCCTCTGAGGATTTACAGTTCATAGGTTGGTAAAGTTAGGAGTCTGTCCATCTTCTATGGGTGTCAAAAAGAATCAATATAGTAAATTAATTCGTTTTACATAATTTAATGGTAGCTTTATGACACAAGCTCAAATTACAGAAGTGTCAGAAGCTAAGATGGCTTTAGAAGTTAAGCCGGTGGGGTTCCTTTTATCATGATACGATAAGGTTGGTGCCTAATTTGGACTTAGATCCACAAGGGAAATTGTTTTTATCACAGTAGCACAAAATAACTATATAAGAATGTACAAAAAAAATAATGGAATAAAAATAAGAAGTAAAAATCAAGCAGGAAAAAAAAGAATACAAGACTTCCATATGTACAATTTACAATTTTACAGTTTTTGTTTTTTGTTGAAAAAATGAACAATAATAATAAAATAAAGTCAAATTAAATTCAAATTAAAACTATTTAGTTATGTGGAATAATGTTATGGATTAAAATTAAATGTGTTGACATAAAAAGAATCCCTTTCTGCTTGAAAATGAACTTTGCAATGTTGCTTCCTCTAAAACATCTATGACGTCTCTCACCGTAGATCATCCAACTACCCACTGGCTGCAGCTCGAGCACGCTGGCTCTCTGCTGTAAAACTACTCAGCGTTGCCCAGCAGCAGGCTGCAATACTGAGTAATTGAGCCATACATGTTTGAGCTGGAAAAATATTCAGAAGAAGAGTAAAATGGGAAGCCCCACCCCGCAGGTCCACAGGATTGTTTATTTAGGTTTGCTCCATATGAAACCTATGAAGTTTGAAACTGTGTTTTGGAGACCGTTGTTGAGACTCTGCAGTTTGTCATTGTGCGCTCACTTCACTCAGTTCATGTCTTGTAGCATATAAAAAAACACTATAACAACATCTTAACAAGGTAAAAACAAATCTAGTTACTACATGTTGTCCATATAAAACAGTGGAGTTTGTTGAGAAAACCACAAGATATGCAAAGTTGCTTCACATGCTGGAAGGTGCGACTTCATAAACTCTCAATTTAACATGTCTGAACTCATAGTTTTTAAAAATCTGCAATTACTAAAAAACTCAGCTTGAATGACCTTAAAACACTGATTATATGGATGAGAGGCCCAAATGTAGAGGAAAATGTTCGTCGTGCGAAAATATCCGTATTAGTGTGGACAAGGCCTTCGTGTTTGGTTTGGATGACTGATGCTGAGGAATAAAAAGCTGAAGAAAGCTTCCCATTCTCTCCATTTGCCCTGCTCCTTCCATGTTCCTCTCCCACAGTCTGCCTTTGCCCAGCTCATAGCCGACAAGCAGTGAAGCATGATGGCCTAGTCAGGCAGGAGGCTAAAGACAAACCGCTCTGCTCAGCGACCGTCCTTCCTCCTTCACCGTGCTATGAAAGAACCTCCTCAAGCTTTTGTCTGTATTTTGTCCTCACTCTATTTCACTCCCTTCCTGCTTTCTCCGTCGAACTGAGCCGTCTTCAGGACTGTGGTTAAATGCCTTCATGCACAGCTCTGTTGTACTGAACTTCACTGCGGTTCACCAGAGAAAATGGTCCAAATCATGAGGGGAATGACTGTGTGGTATTTTTCTTCCTTTTGAGGTTATTAAGAGGGAAAATATGGTGAGTTCATCAGGCTGTTTCTCCAAAAGACAAGACAAAAAAAAAAAACATCAGAAACAAAGAGAGAGTTAGGTAGTTTAACGACCACTGAAAGAAGCGTGCATGTTATGGCCATTAGGGAAAGTTTATATGGATTATCTCATGTGTTGATCCACAGGGGAAAGCCAACATGCTTGTCTGGGTTTGAAAGACTCTGGAAGGGAAAGAAAAGGAAAATGCCAAAACAATACAACCCCACGACAAACACAGTGAAAACCAACAAGGACAAGAAAGACACCACAGAAACTGATGATCTCTGCAAGTCATTACAAACCACAAAGTGACCCTCGGCTTTAAACGGAAACCGTCCAAACGCTGACACGCTCCATTTAGTCCGCTCCTCATCCAGGCTTGTTCCTCACACGGATTACGAGGAACAAATTTTTCTAATAGAAGCTCAGCTAAAAAAAAACTTAATCTGCAAAAATACACTCGAGATGGAAGATTTTGACTTGGACAAGCACCGTTTAGATTTGACTTCATGTAGGAGTCTTACGTCACTGGTGCTTTGCCTCCAGCGGACCAAAAAATCCAAGGATTCATTACTGCTGCACTGGCTGACTGACTGGATTTTGGGGGTCATCTCTGAATACTTTGGTGCAAGGTCTCAGATGATGCCTACAGGTTTTTTTTTTTCTTCCCCTGGTGGATACTTGTAAGTACTAGTAAGCCCTTCTAGTGAGACACAGCTGGTCATGTTAGTCATTCAGCTCACGAAACCGTCCCAAAATCCTGTTTAACCTACTTCTTAGTACCACGTCTCCTCTCCCACCCTGCCGACTTGGGTCACGTTGGAGAATGTACCATATTTGCAACTTGATGATGATGGTTCTCACTTGAAGCTTTGCTGTTTTTTGTGTGTAACTGGTTTGTTTTGTTGGTTTTATTGGGGGGTGACAATGTCCTGTGTTTGCAATATAATGGATTCTTTTAAATTACATCAGATTAATAAATATAACAGTGACTAATACATAGAGATTGGTATTCATTACATGCTTGCTAACATGGACTTTCCGTGAGCAGAGCAATCTCAAGTGTGCCTAAGCGAAGAAACTTTCATGACATACATCACATACAGGCACATATGGGCTTAATCAAACGCTAAACTGGAAACCAGTACAAATGGACTGAAGAGAAAGAGGAGCAGAACCTTCCAACAAAGAGCGCATTGTAAGCCATTTGTATTACTGTAGCGTTCAGGACCAGCGGGTAGGGAGGACAGGCGCAGAGTTGATAAAGTGTTAGCACGCTAAGCAGTCGGCCTCGGCTCATTTCGTTGCCATCATCTCTGCAAGTAAATCAACATTTTATGCAAGACTGGGTGTTCTATTACACGGCAAAGTCATGAAGCCTCCTGGCTGCTAGTGTGTACTTCATGGAGCTACTTTCCTGTCTTTAATCAAGAGCGCTGTGTTTTAATCAGAGAGCTGTATTTGTTTTGTTTTTTTTCATTTTACAGTCAGATTTTGTAATATTCTCCCTCAAAACTCTGCTTTTCTTCTCAAACAGCTCCTGCTCAGTAAAAAAATCTGCTCCAAACTGTTTATCTGCACTCACATATGTTTGTACAAATGTCTCGCAATTCAGTTTGAGTGCATCTCCTTCACTCTACAAACTTCAGCTCTCACATCTGTGCTCAGATCTTTATGAAACAAGCCTGTCAGACGTCCCCTGGCAACAGAAAACCAGCTATGACACTGACCAGTGAGAACTTGACTGCCTCCTTGGGGTGTTGGGTTCATTCATTCACAACCTCCAGGCCTTATCATGTGTCCTTCACTAGTTTTCTTGCAGGAGTTCGTACATACACCAGTGTCTGTATGTTTTACCATAACAGCTCGATGTAATAGTAGCCACATGACTTCATGTTACGTCACTACAGCTGAATATTAGGTCAATTAGGTTTAACTGGGTTCACCAGATTAACGCCACCATGGATCATCAAAATCAAAGATCTCAAGTTAGTCATTTATTTTAATAATGCTATCCTTTTGTTTTTTCAAATGTAACTGACAAAGACATATTTGTCTCACGAGGATACATCCATGAGAATATGCTTTATGTTTAGTAATGCTACCACTGGTACTAAGCAAAAAGCAAGACAGGAAAGTGACTTCATCCATCCATCCATTATCTATACACCGCTTAATCCTCACTAGGGTCGCGGGGGGGCTGGAGTCTATCCCAGCCAACTCAGGGTGAAGACAGGGGACACCCTGGACAGGTCACCAGTCTATCGTAGGGAAGTGACTTCACAGTATTTGCATTTCTCTGCATCTACCAATATACTTTCTGGAATACACGGTTTCATTAATGAGGACGAAACTGCCTGATGTCGTCTGCTCTGAGTGGAGAACTTCCTTGACGTGCTTAAAGGAAGAAAGACTCCAAATGCATTCAGTGTAATCATATCTTTACATTCAAAAAGCCCTTCCACAAACAGATGGAAAATCAA